TTAGAATTCATAATAAAAATTTTTCGTGATAGATTTGTGTAATTATCATAAATATTTTAATAATTTGATATGTCAAATTTTTTGGCACCGCCTAAATTTTTGGGCCGATTCCGCCACTGGACTGTTATCATACTTATTACTATTATCATATTCAGGATAACTCTTTAACCCTTTAATTTTAGGGTTTTATAAGAATTATGTTGTAGGAAAATTGATTGTGTAATGTTATAGAGATTCGTTTTGCGTGGCTTAATTTTTTTTTTTTGCTGCTTTAAAAAGTTCGAGCCCCACAAAATGTTGTGTGTGTAAATTTTTTTTTCTTGTCATGTTAAAGGACAAACTAAAACCCCTTAATTTTATTATTTGATATTTATTCATAGGGATTGTTTTGTGTTGTAGGGGTCTTCTACTCCTAGTGACATTGAGTGTCACGATCTCTTAGGGCGCTCACATTTTTTTTTAAGGTGAGTGTTGTGATTCCTCTTGAGACACTTACATGATTATGTCAAATAACACAATTCCATTATCATAGGTAGTTTTTCTACTGTAAAACTTCATAAAATCATAACTTTTGACTCGAATATCTAAATCATATTTTTTTTTTATTTCATATAACTTTTCAAAATCTAGACAATAACACTTCGTTGGTTTATGGGGTATCAAACTGTTAGTAGGTCAAAATGCTTTACAGAGGTTAGCCTTCATGTTAGATGAACCTTGCTGATCAATTGGACCTGCCCACAACTTGCTCCTCTTTGGTTCAGATATCCTTACATGTGAAATTGCTTTGGCAAGTGCATCAATCCACACACAAACATCATGATATTCTGAATTGCAACTTTCAGATGATGAAGAAAGGCTTGAAACCTCATTAAGGAACCCATCATCCATCCTGTTTCTTCCTAACCTAGGTTCAGGTGCAGCAACAAAGTTGTGGCAAGCTGTTCCATTTTGGTTCTTCAACTTTGATTCAACGGGCAGCATCTTCAATGTACTTTATGTGTAGAAAGATATCCATGGATGTCCTAAAATTGAACCACATAATATTAATTTAACATGCAAACAATCGAACAGTTCTTAAAACGTAAAAGTACTGTCATTTTATTTCCTGTTTGAAAACATAGTGAGAAAAAGAGAGCCTCAACCACATAGAAGAACACATAATAAAAACTAACAAAAGTAAGAGAGAATTAACAGATTCCCACTGTTATCCCAACCAAAAACAATGTACAATAGGGTATAACCAGTTAACCGCCACTCAAGGAACCCGCAAAGCTTGTTAATAAAACAAGGCAGTCCTTCTAATTATTAAGAATACATGTGAAAGGCAAAGATACTTTTCAACAAAACTTGGAAATTTCTAATTTTAATTATTTCAAGATTAAAAAGTCAAAAATCAGACCAAATATAACAAGTCTTTGGTGTATTCATCATTGAGGAAGAGAGATAAAGCACGCTACAAAACATTAATAATCTATCATAAACTTACTAAGTACTTCATCAGCTGTTATCCTTGCTGAAATATCCCTTGTCAGCATTCTCCCAACAAGATCTCGTGCAGGTTTAGATATTGATTCCCACGTCCCGGTTTGGAAATCTAGCTTGGAATTCTTAATAGCCTCAAAAACTGCTTCTTGTGAATCCCCTTTTAATGGAAGAACACCAACCAACAGAGCATGCAGGAGCACTCCAGCACTCCATATATCCACCTTTTCAGAGTATCTACCCAACAACACTTCTGGTGCAACATATGTAGGGCTCCCAGCCAAACCCGTCAAGTTCTGACCTGCAATGCAAATTTCTAGACAATAAGGCTATGCATAAACAACATAAATGACTCATGTATTTATGTATGTATCTTTTACTTATGTGTGTGTATTTATGTATATGTCAATTGAATTACTGATATTTTTAAATGCTTAAAAATTAAACAAAGTGACCTTAGAGTAGGAATGGTTAGCTTCAAACTATTATAAGCATTTTCTCTAGGACCTCTTATTCTTAGACCGCTAGCAAATTTAATTGAATACTGAACATAGTAAACTTAAGGGAGATAACCATCTGAACTCTCCAATTTTTACTCCTATGTAGAGGGTAACATTAGTAAAGTACAATTCAGTTGAAAGCTCATCATGATGAACTTGTTCAAACTTTTTTTTTGCTTATGGTGTCATAGGAAATTAAAAAAAGGAAAAAAGAACGTAAATACACTCAAAAAGAAAGAAATACACAAAATGCAGAAACACTTGCATTTTGCCTAGACATTTTTTATTAACAGAATGACTAGGATGGAATTTTACACAAGGCAAGTTGTGTAAGGATTCTATTCATAGAAGTTAGCACATATATATACCATAGGATAACAAAAAAAAAAGATCATCCAAACAGGTTTAACATATTACCCTTAGAAATTCTCATGGCCAGGCCAAAATCAGCAAGTTTTATTCCCCCCGAAGCCGTAAGCAGAATATTCTCAGGCTTGATATATCTCCCATATCATGACAATACTTGATGACCAACATCACTTCCTTAAGTATATTAGCAGCCCGTTGTTCAGAAACAGGGCCTTCCCTAAACATCTGGTCGACAAGTCTTCCCCCAGAGCAAAATTCCATCACCAGATGAGAGCGATCAGCTTCCTCATACACTGCCAGCAGAGTCACAACCCCAGGATGCCCAGACAAGTGCTGCATTATCTCCACCTCCCTATAAACAGTCTCGTCCCCTTTCTTCAGAGTCTTACACGCATACTCAGCGCCGCCAACAAGAGACCTACACAACCAAACAGATCCATACTTTCCTTGCCCGATCGTTACCCCGGTAACATAATCATCTTCAATCTTCTTCTTCCTCCCCATCTGGGTAGCCACGTCAATGCAACCTATCTTCCTCTTTAGGCCTCTTCCCGCTGTCATAAGAGACAATGTCCCACAAGGAGGAGCAGTGGCAAAACCCGCCACCCTACTCTTGTAGGAACCAGCTGAGTCTATCTTAGTATTTTCTCTACACCTCTTCTTCAACCTCGAACAATCTTCCATCGAATAATGGGTCTTAAAATTGGACGACGGAGACCCATGATTAGAACTAAAAATGTCAGTCAATTTCGAGGACTCGTCACACTCACTTCCTTTCCTTTTCATCCTCATAGCATCTATCAGTAAAATACCAACGCAACACCAATCTTTGTGTTGATCACGTACCCAGTGTGCAAAATCCGATTTTTGTCGCAAGACATAATTCTGCAGTCAAAATAGAGAAAGATCAGTCAACGAATTCTAGTCAAATTGATCATGAATGGACGCAAAACCACAAGGAAAACATCCAAACACAAATAATAAACTTCAAGAAAGTAAATCGAACCCCGAAGCTTTTTCGCAACGTAATGGCGCCAAAAAGTGCCATCACATCACGAGACCCCTGCAAGACAAGACAAGAAGAAGTTAGAACATAGAAAGAAAAAGAAACAAACCTTTGCAATCCCAACCAATGATCCTGTAACGCGTTGCGGAGAGAATAAGGATTGAGAAAAAAGTCGCAAATTGGGAAACTATTCAGTCGCTGAGCCTTAAGTAGGATATGGGCTGGCGTAACCACATGCAAGCCAGCAGGTGACTTGACACTTGCTTGTTTTTTTTTTTTTTTACTTATTATATAATTAATTAAAGTAAAAATTATAATTTAGTATCACCTAAATAGAAAATCAAATACTCAATACAAAGTAACAACAAATCATCAAAATGCAAACAAATAATAAGGAACATGCATGGTATGGTATTTTTGTATTTTATCTTTTTTTATTTTTTATCCTGTATTTTTGTTTTTTTCCTGCTTTATTCTAATCAGTTATGTTATTTATTCTTACTTCTATTATTTTAAAAAAGAAAGACTTCTAAATTTAATCACAAAAATGATTAGTTGACCTATTTCAAAATTTAGGCCCAACTAAACCAAATAAACTTATTTAAAAGTAGGAAAAAAGGTTTGTCCTTTTAGTTTGTGACACTATATCTTACCGATAAAACATAGTTATAATATGAAAAATTACTTTTTTTCTATTTACTTGGTCACTTCAGTTGACGTGGAGAGAGAAAAAAATATTTTTTCATGTTATAACTATTTCTTACCGGTAAGACATAATGTTAAAAACTAAAAGGATACTAATACTTAACCCTTGAAAGTAACAATCATGAAACCAAATGAATAACATCAGGACTATAATTATGGAATATAAAGGTCCATTGAACTATTGTGTTTTGAGTTATTGCACACACAAAGAATAGTCAAAAACCTAATTCCCAAATGTGAGAACTTTTCATCATGCTTATGGCTGTTGTTGCAAACAAGTGCGATGTTCTCTAACGTGAGATATTGAAAATTTAAGGAATAGAGATAATGAAAGAGGAGACGAAGAACAATGCTTATTATACATATAATTATTATATTTGTGTATTTTCATATCCTTAGGATAACGTTTGGTTCATTACTTATTATGTTGTGGGAGAAAAGTGAAATTTTATGTTTGAAATATTTACCGAAAAAGTTAGTGTATTTTTATATATTTGCTTTGATATATAATCAACGACTTCAATTGAATTTTCAATATTATGTGATTTTATTTACTACATAATTTAGATAACTATATTATAATTCATATTAAATTTTTTTTTCTGATAAATTTATGTAATTCTGATAAATATTTTGATAATTTGATATGTCAAAGTTTTTGGCACTACCTAAATTTTTGGGCCGGCTCCGCCACAGATCGACAGGTAGATGAAGAGAAAAAAAAAGTGGTGAGACCCAACTTTTTTTTATGTATAAAAAAATTGTTTATCTCATGTAAAAAGAGATAAACATAACCCTTTAATTAATTAGTAAATTTTTACTTTCTTACACACTAAATTGATGATGTAACGAGACCAAAAGACAGCAGAACATCACATGTTTTATAATATAAGCACCAAAATAACAATTGAGAAACAAATCTTAGTACACCCCAAAAGCACAGCACAAGGTCGTGTGTTATATATCATCTGCTTCTCCACCTCCTCTGGTTTCACTCTCCGATCTCTGTTACGTGCTATAACACTCGAACTTATTAGGCTACGGTTTGTGTACATTCTGCGCCAACTTTTGAATTTGGGTATATATAAAGGTTTGAGCTTTTTGATTTTGAGTGACAGCCCATGATTGGGAATCCAGTGATTGGATTCCCCTTTTGATTATTTAGGGTTTAGCTCATTCCACCTTCAATTTGAAGATTTGGGGAAAAACAAATAGAAGAACGTAACCCTAGAAATATTTGCTTAATCTTATAATTGAATTTGAGTTTGTTTTAGTGGATCTTGAGTTGTGAAACGGGAATGGCCTCTTACAGGCCTTTTGCTCCACAATCATCGTTTAGTCAAAACCCTATTGCACCTCCCCAACAACTTGGGAATCATCAGAATTGGAATTATGGTGGAGGAGATGGAACTGTGTCTTCAGCTCCATCTACTTCATTCCACCAAATGCCTTCAAATTCTACTCACCATCACGCTGGATATGGATCATCAACTTCCCACCATTATCAGCAGTATCCATTTGCACCACCACCACCACCACCTGAAAATTCATACCCTGCTCCACCACCACCTCCAATGTCTCAACAGAACTTGCACCCTCCTCATGCTCCATTGTATTATCCTTCTAATCACTACTCTCAGTATAGCCAGCAGCCAATGCAGCCACCTCCTCCACCTCCTTCTTCGCCGCCGCCTAGTTCTTCTATCCCCCCTCCACCTCCCCCAAGTCCACCACCTCCTGCTTCAGCTCCTCCACAAAGTCAAAACAATGACGAAAGGCGATTGCTTGATCGCAATAAAGGGCAGTTGAAGGAGGTTTCAACATCTGTTAGACGTGAGCATGAACATTCCAATCATGGGGATCCTAATAAACAACAGAAGCCTGCTGTTCCTCCAATGTCTATGAAGAAATCAAATGAGCCTCCAGGGAGGACTGAGACAGAGGAAGAAAAGAGGTTAAGAAAAAAGAGAGAATTTGAGAAGCACAGGCAAGAAGAAAAGCATAGGCAGCATCTGAAGGAATCCCAGAACACTGTTCTGCAAAAGACTCAGATGCTATCATCTGGGAAGGGGCATGGTTCAGTTATTGGGTCGCACATGGGAGAAAGGAGAACTACTCCCTTATTGAGCGGTGAGAGGATTGAGAATAGATTGAAAAAGCCCACCACGTTTCTGTGCAAGCTCAAGTGAGTATGTTGAGATCATTTTTGGTTTTTACGTTTTATTAAATAATCATAGTTTATTAATAATAGTTGTTAATTCTTCTTTTTGCGTTGCACTGGATATTGCTCTCTTTGCCTACAGGATTTGTTCATCTGTATGGAGATTCCAGTTACAAATGATGTTTGATTTTATTGGCTTTTAAGTCCTCTCTTTTATTATGTGTTTTGAATTAGGTTGTGACTTCATCAGTGTTAGTAATGTCTCGTAATGCAGGAAAATGAAATTATTGCTATGGATGTTTTCGACTAGTGATTTTCTGTTGTTTTCTTCCAGTATCTGATGTATTTTTATTCATGTTCTCATTTAAGATTCCGGAATGAACTTCCAGATCCAAGTGCACAGCCCAAGCTTATGGCGTTCAAGAAAGATAAAGATCAGTATGTAGACTTATTCTCTCATTTATATTAGTACGTAGGTACCAATAAGTATCTATCCACATGATAGGGTAGTCAATAGTGTCATTGATTAACTCCATCATTTTGGTAAGTGATAAATGTTCATGGTGTAGGGAGATGAAGAGGAAAACTGACACTTTGCTGAGAGAGCTGGTAAACATATAATGGATTAATAGTACGTTTTAGACTGGATGTATAATTATGGGATTGGATGAGATATGCCATCAAGTAATTCAATGTATTATGAACTTACGCTAACATAGATAGGGTGTATCCCAAGTGAGACAAGGGGTTCCTGACCATTAGTTTTTTGTATAAAGGTTAAGGTTTAAGGCCATTTGATTGTCAGTTGACCACATTAAAATGTCACATTAGTTAGTCTTTCAATATTGACCAGTTATGCAAGATTTGATGGTTAGGACATACTTTTCTTACCCTTAAATTGATAATTGATTTTATTGGAAAATAATATTTCAATCACGATTTTAAAATTAATAGTTTAACTTTGCTTTTGTGTGTGTGTGCACACACTTTGGTAATTTCATGATCACATTGCAGATATGCAAAATATACAATTACATCTCTGGAGAAAATGTACAAACCCAAACTTTTTGTGGAACCAGATCTTGGAATACCTCTGGACCTGCTTGATCTCAGTGTATACAAGTATTGTCCTCATCTCCTTTAATAATTTTGATTAAATGATTTATGCTGAATGAGTAGGTCTTATGAATTTTTTTCCTTCTCTTACAGTCCTCCCAGTGTCAGGCCACCTCTTGATCCAGAAGATGAAGAATTGTTGCGAGATGATGAAGCATTAACTCCTATAAAAAAAGATGGCATAAAAAGAAAAGAAAGGCCTACTGATAAAGGTGTTGCTTGGCTTGTCAAAACACAATATATATCTCCGCTGAGCATGGAATCAACAAAACAGGTATTAGGTATTAGACATTTTATGTCAATATAACGTTGCAGTACTCTTTCCACAAGCAATAACTTATGAACATATTGTAGTCTTTAACTGAAAAACAAGCAAAGGAACTGAGAGAGATGAAGGGAGGCCGCAACATTTTGGAAAATCATAACAATAGGTACGTTATGTACCACCTTGTCCATCTAAAGTCAATTCTTTACAGTTAAATTAGTATGTGATAGCAATTAATATCCTCTAACTTCAATCGAATGATCTATTTTAGGGAAAGACAAATCAAGGAAATAGAAGCATCATTTGAAGCAGCTAAATCACGCCCTGTTCATGCAACTAAAAAAGATTTGGATCCTGTTGAGGTTCTTCCTCTGCTGCCTGATTTTGATAGGTATGGCACCATATATGCTTCTCATTAGCCAAAGTATTATTTACCCTGCTGTACTTTATTAATCAGCCAATTGTTATTATCATTATTCATTATTATTATTATTATTATTTGTACATAAAGGCTTCGTACTGCTGACAGTCATATTTAATTAAGCTGCCTTTTGTTATCCGACTTGGCAGGTATGGTGATCAGTTTGTTGTTGCAGCATTTGATAATGCTCCTACAGCTGATTCGGAAGTGTACACTAAGGTGGACAAATCTGTTCGTGATGCCCTTGAATCAAGGGTAAGCTTTTGGTTCAAGGATGAAGATATTCATTCCACATAATCTTAAGTCAAATATATATACGCAGGAGTAACTATCAACTCAAATTTCTTTTTGTCTTACAACTATCTATTTGCTGCCTTCAGGCTATCATGAAAAGTTATGTTGCATCAAGCTCAGATCCTTTAAATCCTGAGAAATTTTTGGCATATATGGTGCCGGCACCTGGAGAGGTAGATGTGACCCTGCGTCAAATTTAAATCTGCATTTCAGTTTTGAAACACAATTAATTGGAAATAATTCTGTGTGATTAACTATTGGATTTATCTGAACTTTGTGATGACAGCTGTCAAAGGATATATATGATGAAAATGAAGAAGTCTCGTATTCTTGGGTTCGCGAGTATCATTGGGATGTATGTGGCAAGAGTTTAAACGTTCAATGTTAACTAAATACATCATGATTTTATTATAAATTCCTGTAGTTAATTTCAATTCTTTAACCTTTTTATTGTTAAATAAATGCATTCTAAACAATTCCCCTTTTTAACATTATTTTGACAGTTTTAATTTTCCACCTTAATAGGTTCGGGGTGATGATGCAGATGACCCTACAACATACTTAGTGTCGTTTGATGAGTCAGAGGCACGCTATTTGGTATTTCCCGGCAACAATATCTATGTCTTCCACAACCAATACACTGACCGTGCCTGGCACATAGTTTTTTTATTACTCTGTCAACTTCTTAATTTGATATGCAGCCTCTTCCAACAAAACTTGTTTTAAGAAAAAAGAGAGCTAAAGAGGGAAGATCTGGTGATGAGGTTGAACAGTTTCCAGTACCTTCAAGAGTAACTGTAAGGCAGAGGTCAAGCGTTGCTGCAATTGAGCTGAAGGAGTCTGGGGTATGACACTGATTTAGTTGTAAACTTGTGGCATTTGAATTTATGAAATTAATTCCTTTAACATTTTTTATGCTTTAAAGGTTTATACAAATACAAAGGGAAGTTCTTCAAAGAGAGTGGGTATAGAAATCGATGATGATATGGAAGAGCAATATAGAGTTGCAGCGCACCAGGATAATTATCAGTCTAGTGGAGCGGAAGATGAAATGTCTGATTGATTCTTTGATGCAAATACTCTGCCTCAAAGCAAATTTTCCCTATGAAATTATGGTTGGATTGTTGGTATCAGGTAGCTGAATTTGGAGTGGCCTAGGTGCTTCAATGAAGAAAAAGCAATGATTGATGCCATATTTTTGTGTGCCCATTTCAACCCATATTTTTGTAGGCTGTTTATAAAATCAATACAGGTTTTTCCTCTCTATACCATTAAAGAAAGTACTGAGAAATAAGGAAATGTTAAGAGCATGTCAAACTAAATGGAATCGAGGCGTTGTACTGAATATGCTTTTATTTACTAATCAATGAAATTGCCATCATTCCATTTTGTCCGTGTATTGGTTGGTGACCCATCAAGTGATTCCTAATAAGAAATGAGTTGGATGATAGATTGCCCGTAAGAATCGTTGGTACCTATCATATCGGCTTGGGTTTCGTTCCAAGGAGTTGTTTTTTTGGCATATGAAATCATTCTACTACTTGAAGGACAGGAAAAGTTTGCTCCAGTTGTAATAAACTTCCGTAAACAGTAGCGCAAGAGCTGATAGTCATAAAATTGAATGGCTATCCATGGTCAATGCTAAAACTATTCTTTACTTTTATCTCGAAGTTAAATTACCAGTGGTTATCTCAACATGCCACCATCGTTGATACCTCTGGCGGCTTATTTTAGCCCTGGTCACAATTCCAACAGCAGATCATGAACATACCGCATTAGTTCAAAAAAGACGCGCACAACTGTATTTTAATAACAAAAAACGCAGTTTCATCTGGACGAGTGCTATATTCTCTCGTGAAGAAATGTCATTATAGCAAATGACTAGTCACTTAGTCAGCATTTCTCTTCAGACGTTACTCATTTACTCTCTTTCTTCCATCTATCATACACACTCCCAAGAAACAAACCATGTTTCAACCGACGGTTACATTAATGTCAGCGCAGATAAGATTAACAATCTTCGGTATTTACAAGTAATATCATCCACCATTTTGAAAATTCAGATTTTTCTTTTGGTGAAAGAATCTCAACTAGAAAAAAACAATGTTCAAAGGCGTATCCAGTAGCTTCGGAAGTTAGTTTTGAACTTCAGAAATGAAGACTCCTGGATGCAATTGACGCCCTATAAATGGTCGACCAAAGATAAGTAAAAGAAACATCATCACAGTTATTGTACAAATTTCAGAAAATTAAAGTGTACCAACCATGCTTGCCGACATTTGACAGCTTCATGGCGAACAGCTCTCTTTGTATCATTAAGAGACTTCGATATTGCTCGTAGTACCTAATATAATCAATATGAAGAACATTTAATCCCCATGTACCAAAAACGAAAATGCAAAAAAAAAGAGGTCAACACTTGATTCCAAGCACTGAGCACTATTTACGTTATAATAGTAAGGACCGAAGAGAATATTTGTCTAGAGCAAATAATCATCCCTTCAAGCTAAAAGCTTGACAAACCTGTGTTCTCGTAGGATAGATACGCGCATGGGGCAGCTCAGACAAGGCAACAAGACATTGAATAGCTGTCTCTCGAACAAGCTGCAAAAGGAGACAGAGAAATCCACCATTAACATCATCGTTGACTTCGACCCATCTAGACAATAAGATGGCAACAAGGTGAAAAGAGGGGTCTAAGGGTTTTAGCAAGAATTCTTGAGCAGAAACCCTTTGCCAAGTAATAAATTAGTATGAGAAAGTAAGCTTTTTTGAGTCAGCTTGTCTTTGAACCAAGACTTCATCTATCTAAGCCATAGCAAAAAATAACTTGCGACCAGGAGTTCAGGCCTCTCCTGCTGGCCCTAATGTGGTTCAGAACTGCAAACATGTCTAACAGGCAATAAGGTCACTTTATAACACAACGAGTCAGCAAATAACTTGCATAGGGAAAATCTGATACCGTCTTATGAGGGTAGTCCACAAGCTTAATCAGGCAATTGATGATAATATGTGCATTGTCAGCTACAGCTTCTTGCTCTGCAAGAACGTACATAGCTTATATAAGAAAGCATTAACAGGTCATTCATTATTCTTGCCTATGATTACATTATCATCATCAGCTTCATCCCCAACACAATTGCGAGTGGCATGGTAATACTTTCTTTGTGAAAACACAACCAGAAGCTATAAACAAGCACCAAGTGCATCGGCAAGGAACATGCAGACACTAGTATTTGCAAATACCAGATATTGCACCAGAATCTAGAAATAGGTGCAATGGCTAATATCAAGGTCTTGGTGAAAATTCTTATTAACAATGACATTTGATCTTTCTAACAACCCAATTTCTTTCACATGAGGAAATCATAAAAAGAAACAAAAATAGAAAGTAAATTGAATCACAGTAGATAACTTGAAATTTACACCAAGCTATATGCCCATATCTTGACCCTAAAAGTTCAGATAAGACAACATTAAATACTATAAGCATTGCAATTACCATTTTTCTCAGTCAATATCCCAGATAAAACTAGCAAGAGACTATACAAGATATCTTTATCTTGGATATCTTCTGTCAACATGGTCAAGCAATCCAGTAGAACTGGTATGAGCTGCAAAATATGCCAAGGAACTTACTGTAATAAAAGTAGTTGATCAAGAAAAACAAATACATAACTTTTAGATAAAAAAAAGAAATAATTAAAATCCTGCAAATATATTATGTGTAATTAATGATAGTTTATAATTTCTCAAACTAACCTTTTTAGCTTCACTCAGTATAACAATAAGTGGGGTATCAGACATGATATGTGCAAAAGCTCGATACAAAAAAGATCTGAGATTGTACAAATCAGCAGTTTAGACATTTGTAGGAAGAAGGTAGAAGATGCAAAGGCAAACTCCAAGTCAAAACAACTCAATGACAATTTGGCAATACTGTGGTGTTTGTATGTATATGGGGGACCTTGCACCCAATTCTAGTCAATAAGGCATCAAAATATTAAAAAGTGAGCTACTCACAAATGCCACTGGGAGGAAAAATAGTTTTTATTTTGAGAGAGAACAGTACATCTACCTGGAGAACGAAGAATGAGATTTTGTGATCAACTGTTGAAACATAGGCATTATAGAAGAGAAAAACCGCTGCTTATATAGAGGCCGTATTATGGCATGGAATTTTCTGTTCAAACAAACTTCAGAATCACTCATAAGAACATGAAAAGCATCAGCAGCACATTTCATTGCCAAAGGATCCCAATTCTGCTCTTCAGCATTTTCAAGTGAATCTTGGATCAAAGGCAAGGCATTATTTGTGCCTGATATTAAGCACTCGATAAGAATCATAGTGATGTCTTTAATCTTTTCATGACCACGCAGAAGCAAACCTTTTCCAATCCAAGAGAGCCCACAAATGGCATTGATCTGAAGCAATCTATCATTTGCAATGCCCAGGCACAAATCAGTAAGAACCATTTCACTCCCATTACTTATTCCATTAAATCTCCGCAACATATCAGTACTAGAAAAGCATATTTTTGTGTTGAATATAACATCCAGAGCTTCTTCCAAGGTAATGTCAACTGCACCATTGGGTTTTGAAATGAATTTGTTAATCATAGAACCCAAGGCCTGTGCAGCTGGAACAACACCCCTGAGGAGGGTTATTATAAACAGATGCAGAAGTACTTTTATATTTGGAATGTGTGTTTTGGGGCAAACTGCAATAACTACTGAAGCAAATAATGAAAGTATCGCTTCATCTCTAGGGGGAATGTCATATTTTACAGGAGTTAGTGGTAATCTTTCCACTTCATTAAGCTGAAAGTTAGTATGTGCTGATAGTATACTGTAAGCTTTTTGAATTATAATATTTTGGCTCTCCACAGAGCAACTCCCAACAGAAAGTTTCATCACTTTCATTATTGCATCAAGAAGACCCTGAAGTACAAGCAGGAAAAATCACCGTTACTGCTTGAATTGTTTATTTAGTTGCATGTATATAATAATGAGTACGGGACTTTAGATAAAATCACAAAATAATTAAGGACGATTAATTACGAGGGTCACAATTATATAAACCTTTTCCTCAAATTGGACTATGAAGTCCATGCAATTTCCTGCTTGGCTCCAAATATCCACAGCAAATTGCACAACAAACTCCTCTGAACCTCCATTTTCATGGATCCTGCCCAGATTTAATTAAAACTATATCAGAAGGTACAAATCCTCCATGCTCCTTGTGCATAGAGAACAGCAATGCATTGGAAACAACAGTTGATAAACTGAAAGAGCTATTAGTCCATCCTTCCTTATTTCTAATACAAAATATCAGGTATTTTCTTATCTTAGTGAAGAAAATTCAATAGTCACAGCAAAGTGAAATTAATATACAAGTCCTGAAGAGTTTAATACCATGGAAGCAACTTGCAAGAAAAGCACTCCAAAAGCTGAACAGCAGTTTCAGAAGACCTTAAATTTCTATGGACCTAGATGAACAAATGCCAGAAAGTTACAATCACATTCAAAAACGTAAATCTCACAATACTACTGTAAGGATAAAAAGTGTAAATAACCAATTCAACCCAAAAGCTTAAGCTGGTGGGTGAGGACTTTTTAATGGTTTTATATATCTCAACACGCCCCCTCACACGAGAGCCCATCGGGCTAGAAGGGTGGACAATGCATAGGTCCACCTACCTGTGCTAAGAAATTCCACAAGAGAAAGTGGGGGGTGGTGAGGATCAAACCCGGGACACAAGGCTCTGATACCATGTAAATAACCAATTAAAAGCATGCAAAAATTTTAAAATAACCAATGAAAAAAATAAAATAACATATTCAAAGATGCTTTTAAAGAAGCAGATAGAGTATTGGAGTTATATACATACATGAACCTCAGATAGATTAGCAAATACAGCTCCTCCCAACCCTTGAAGAATTGTCAGCATATTTTTCATTCCAGTCATGCCTATATCAGATAATGCTTCCACTTTGAGTGAAAAGGGCAGAGTAATATCATCATGAGACAGCATTTCCACAATTTCTTCGACAATAAAACTCCTGTAGCTCATAGCTTTTTCAGACTCATGAAACTTTTCAACAAATGAGCCAATATGAAATAATGCTTTCAATGCTGCTTTCCATAATATTGTTTTGTTGAAATCCTCTATGATAATTGACATGAACTTCCTCAAAATATTCTCAAATATTGATTTTGGTATGGGAAAAACATCTAAACGAAACATAGCCAGTAACTGCAAACCCTTCACTGCATATCGTACCAAAAGCAAAAAAGGAATCAGCAATGTGCAGATATAATAATAAATTCACAAGGTAGTGAATCAAATAAACATAATGTGCATCATGATATAAATTGTAGTAAATGCATGTAAAGTGTGAACCTTGCGTAGTCATGCATTTCATACGAAAACATAAATCCCGAGCTCCCAAAAGTCATTTGAATAAATTTGTTCTAAATTCTGATTAATCATTTAAACTAATTATAGTCTACAGAAATGCAACAAGATAGTTTTAGTTTAGCAGTTCCCTTCAGAACCAGTAATCTGACTTTATACACCTAAGGTGGCTTTAGTTTCAAGTCTCTGGGCAAATTACAATTATTTGGTTGGAAAGGAATGCTTCTGTTTTTCAAAATTGTCACTTTCACCTTAGATTTGTTATGGTATAGGGTTGTGTTTATGGCTTCACTTAGACCTGTGGGCATTTCTGCAGATTGGAACACTTTGCTGCATTTTTGAACCGCTTTGCCTTATTGTTTCCCTTTTTCTTTTCTCTAATAGAAAGATTTCTTATCCTCCCCAAATGTGCTTTATTCCCCTTCTTTCTAAAAAGTTTTCATCTTTTATCAAAATAAATAAATACACCACAAGTTCATGACACATTTCTCATGGATGAGCTACTTAAGAAGAGTAACACTGAAAAAAATACGATCAAAATTCTGGAAAAGAAACAAAGACTGAGTATTTAGATAAAAATGTTATACTCGGATAGATAAAGAGCATCACCTCCAATGTATACATCTCGATCAAGGGGGCATATGTCAGCACTTACTGCCAAGACTGAACCAAAGGCATTAGATAATGGAGTTGAAAAACTATGAAGCATAGTGCAAAATGTCTCATGCTCGAAAACATACTGCAGAGCTTGTTCCTCAGATGCAACAATCAGTTCCCTGCATCCTGCAAGCAGTTCAATGCAGAGATAAAGGAATCCAGACTTCACTTTCTGAGAGGGAAAAATATCACCATTTGGCGAGCTATCAATATTACTAACAGAAAATCCCAAATTATCCATTATTCGGGAGAAAAGACTATGAAACACGGTGTTGCAAGAAGAAACGGAAGTCTTGGCAGTAATATAGAGAATGCGACCGATAGCATGTAGTTTCTTCTTTTCTTGCACAGGAATAGCATCGTATATCTCATAGGAGGCGATGATGTTGAAAATAACATTGACATCCTCATCATCAATTATCAAGCTAACTAACAAACTGCTATTTTGCATGATAAGCTGCTGAAGGAGGGACAGAGCCTCTATTACAAATTCATTCTTTGGGAAGTCAATACCATCTACAGAAGCTAGAGCAAAAGAAAAATCTGGCTCCTCCAAATAATTATATATGGTGTCTTTTAATGAAGACCAAATAGTCTTAGCATGTTTTGCAATTCTTTCTGCTCCATACTTGCAGCAGCACGCTCTAAGATATTTTAAGGAATCAATCTGAATTCAAAGAAAACCAACACACAGAGAAATATGAATGGTTAAGTTAATAAAAAAAGAAAAGTACAAAAGTGATTGAACAGATATTTAGCACAAAAGATAGAAATGATATTCTATTAATACCAACCTTTGCTGAATTTAGCGAAGAAGAAAGTTTCTCAAGAAGCAGAGGAATGACAAATGGCTCAAAAAGAGGTGTAGAAGAGAATGCAGACTGCAGAAAAGTAAAATAATTAGCTCATAATAGAGTTCTATAAAACACAACCGAAATAACATATACTCAGCCAGTTTTTACAAGCAAGATATACAACATTGTAAGAGATTTAAGGCCACTAATTCTTAATTATTAGGGATATTTGCCTTTAAAAATAGAAAAGCATTTTACTTGAACACCTCCAATTTCTGATGTTTATCTCCAGAGCCTTGTGAAGTTATCAGTAAAACTGTGGTCTATCTTCAAAGAGAAAGGAAGAGAAAAGAAAACCATAAAACCATTCCACTCTAACCTTCAATTTTATAATCCCGAATCTTAGCATAAAATCCAGAAATTTTAGAGAGACAATTTTTTTTTTTTTTAAAAAAAAGGTGAGAGGCAGAGAGAGAATTAAAATTGAGTATAAGTTTTCCAAAAAAATAAATAAATTAAAAGTTTAAAATTCCAGAGGTTCACATCAAAGACTAAATAACTAACTATAAGAAAATACAACCACTGAAAGCAAATCACCACAAAGTCTGAATGAAAGTTCCACATACCATCAAAGCCCTGGACAGGTCATCTCTTTGCACATGAGCATCCCCACCAATTGGCTGGTAAGGAAACAAACAATACAAAAAAATAACAAAAAGTCAGAATGAATATTTACAAAGAAAATATTCCTCTTGTCACAATGTCCCAGCATCAATATAATATGACATAGCCACATAGGCCAAAACAGGTCCACATACATTCATACCAAGCATATCCTTAGTGTCTCAAGCATACATGCTCAAGTGATGTATAGAAATCAGTATTCATAAATGGAGAAGTTCAATGGAGAAATATGTGCGACAGATTAATCTTACATGCGTAAAGTGAATGGGAAAGTACGGTTCTAAAATATCGAAAAGATCACTAGCAAAGCTTGCAAGGAGACCAGATGGATTAGGATATAATCGTGCCAAAAACTCAACAATATGAAAAGCGAGCATTAAACATTCTGGATCCTTTTCTGAATCCATGGCTTCACAAATTCCATAAATAAGGTCCTCCCCCTACAAGAGAGTCAAGAATCAATGTATTATATGATTAAAAATGAGACCATAGGTGTCATAAAGAGAAATATCAGCAGCAAATTTGAATGATAAAGTATTTTCAATAATTATGGAGTAAAAACTAGCTTACATAGATTACATATTTGGGATTACAGAATGTAAGTCATACATTGGCCTCCATATGTTTGTTCTTTTTAGTTGGATATCTTATCCTCTGCACTTGTACTTCACTATTTTTATATCCCTAATAATACTTCTTTGTATATTAAAAAACAATAGATTGAACAAATTCCAAAATCTATGCCCCAATTTAAGCAAAACAAGAAAGATACACTCTTATTTTTAAATACTGCATAAAAAGTCCATTAACTTTACAAAGGATCCACATTTAAAAAACATACCAACTGATATTCAATCATGAAAAATAGTTTTTGTATAACAAAATGGGATTGTAATAAAACATTTGGAAGTAGGAAGTAGATACATGCAACTAAACGCAAATAAATGGAAACTGATCTGATTTGCTATAAACAATTAAAGCAAAGAAAAGGGAAGTACAACCAAACATGAGGATAAGATATTCTACTCAACATTGATAATTTATATGACATATAATTATATATTCATGGTGAAAAAATATAAGATGCCACAACACTAATCAATAAGCTATCTATGTCCAACTTATATTCATATCTATGCTGTCTTCAGTAAAAACTGTACCTAAGAAACTTTCTGGTTATGTATTGTATGTACAGGGAAGTGGCAGCAGAAAGGAAAGGGGAATGTTTATGAGTTAGACAAAAGGCAGATCCAAAGATACATTTTAAATTACGATATAACATCAAATAGAATGATAGTATGTTCAGGAATTTTGTTTTCTTTTTCCTTTATTCATTGCTATGCTGAAGTTTAGGGAAGCTTGGACTACCAGTGGAGCAACCACATCGGAGTAGCGTTCTAGCAGGCAATCAAGCAGTTCAAAGCATAGCTGCAGTGTTGAAACAAAGGAAGAGAAGGTGAGAGGTTTAGCAAATACAGCTTACATGAAGTCAAAAAAGGGTAGAATTACAGAAGAACTCCTGATAAAAATATTTACCATAAAGGAACAATAAACACTCAAGACTGATTGGTTAAGAAAGTTTAAGCCAGTATATAATGACTTCAAGTGGTTATTTTTACTTTTAACGAGAGTTTTTTTCTGGAACTTTCTTTCCCTCAGAAAAATTTAAAGCCTTTTCTGATTTTGGAAATTCTACTTTATACAGCAGAAGCATACATTTATTGTGGCTGTAAAAATAATTTACCTTCCTGTCATACTGTCCTAAAGATTGAACTTGCAAGTTTTGTAAAAAAGATTGAGCAATGGCTTTGGCATCACTATCAGTAACCATACCCACAACACTTTTTCTCCTTATCAGTGCCAAGCAACCCACAAGTGCACCTCGTACTGCTCTCCAATCTGCCTGAGTATAAATAATATTATATCATTTATATTATTAGAAAATATCATGAGAAAAATAGATATCATTAAGGAGATCATTGATCACCAATCATAACACTTTTTTGTAAAGTCAAAAAGCAAAACGATCCTGTTCAATCAGCAGTGCTCAAGACTCAAGCACAAGCATTTCATAAAATCAACTCAACCCAATCAAGCTTTGAACGACAAATGAAATCCCCATGATATGGCAATATAGATGGAAAAGGAATTGCAGGAATAAACAGATGGAATAAAAAAGCCATTGACAGAATCAAACTAGAATAAAAGTTTAGAAAATTCTCAAACCAAGAACTTAAAAAAGTAAGTAAAGTAGCAGAAGAAATACTCATACAGACCAGTCTGTCCTTGAAGAACCCAACCAAGCTATGTATAGTTGCACTGGCAAGTGGTTTTGATTCGATACGAGTAAGCACCTCCGCTAGAAGAAGTATTCCTGAAGAATTTTTTCCAATACACATTCAGGCATTAAACTTACACCATTAAACTTACATCAATATATGAATATGCAGGCGAATGATATCAGTATGCATTTGTAGAGAACATATCTGCCCGTACGTACCCATTCTCTCTCTCTCTCTCTCTCTCTCTCTCTCTATCTCTCTCTCTCTCTCTCTCTCTCTCTCTCTATATATATATATATATATATATATATTGTGTGGTGGTGATCAGTCTACAATACCTCCTACCAAAATCTAATTCACCACAATTTTTTATTTGTTCTCTCATTCATGATTTGACAGAGATTGCTTTATGTAATACATGCTATGCTAGCTTCAAAATAAAGAAAATGCACCTCTTGCACGAATAACGTTATCTGTTGTGGTCAAATACATATCCAATTCTCTCACCTAAATTTTGGAACAGTAAAAACGAGTCAAGTCTAGAAAAAGACACAAATTAAGCAGATACATGAAAATCTCTTGTTTATTTTGTTTTTAAAGGAAGAAAGGACGAAGAGACAAGGGGAAACGTGCCAGTGCTTCTAGAGTTAAGGCATCAGTGATTACGAGACATCCAATTGCGTCCAAACTTGCAGCCTGTAGTGCATAAGCATGATTACCAAAGCAAGCATGTAGAGAAACAGTGCAATACAGAAGGGGAAAACTGTTGTTTAGTTCAAATAGCAGGTAAGTAAAAATGATTAGGAATTAGAACTATCCACGAACGAATCGAGGGAGGGATCGAACCTGGTGAGTGGGAGTAGAAGTAGAAGAGGAATCGATGTATGACTCAATGTGGCGAGTCAATTGAGTGGGTTCCGCCATGGTCGATGAAGAGAGAGAGAGTATCGAGGGTTTTAGAATTTACAATTACAGAGAAAGAGAGAGACTGAAGTACAGGGTTTAAGCAAAGTATCTTAATATGAAATGAAACTTATGCAAAGACGTCGACATAAATGAGAGTAATATAATTTTGGATATTTTTCTAATTTCTTTATCTTATTAAGTGAAATCAATATTTATTTAAATTATTTAACAAGAATATTTAAAAATAAATGTGTTCCTAATATTTCTCAATTCACAAAAAAAAATTGCTCATTATACAAACTAAAAGACAACAAAATGACAAATGATTGATTTTTCACTATATGATTCAGGAATAGTGCTAGACTTGTCTGTTTTTAGTTTAACTCAATCTTATTAAAACCTGGCCGGTCGGTCGAGATAATAGGTTATCGGGTTTAATAAGTGGGTTAGTGATTCAATAAGTGGATAAGTGGTTCAATCACATGAGTTGTTAAGTATATGTAAATTTATAATTTATATTAAAAAAATTATAAACATATTTAAATACATGTAAAAAATAATATCAATTTCAAATATTTTAATATGAAAAATAATAAATTACACATCATAATCAAGATAATATTAGTGTTATAGATACATAACATAGGTAAGTCAATACATAATAGAGCACTCAAATATTTCAAAATAAAACAAATCATTTGAGTGTGAGTGAAAAAAATAAAGGTATCAATTGATGAGAATAAACAAGATTTTTTTTTCAATCTGGCCGAGTCACCAGTTGAACTGACTGGGTAACCGATCTTTTTAAAAACCAGTCGTGTCGTACCGGTTCCATGACATGATCGATCCAACATGAAAATCAGACCGGTTATATAACTAGTTCATCGATTTTCGGGTCGACCCGATTTTTATAACAATGATTTAACTATTACACAATCAGAAAATTAAACCTTACACAAATGTAATTTTATGAATAATTTTTTAAGAATTTTTAATATTATTCAATTTATAAATATGTATACATGAAATGGTACACAATTTTATAAGTTTGGACATTTGTAGTCTTTCTTTATTTTTATTTCAATATATTGATTTAGTTCTATTAAAATATATATATATATATATATATATATATATATATATATCTATATATAGATATATATATATAAAGAATCAATTCAATACAAAAACTTATGTTGTTGGATGAGGGTATATTAATGATTTTATATTTCTGTAACACGTCCGTTCACATCAAAGCCCATTGGACTTGAATGATAGATAATGCATCAGACTCAATCTACTTGTGCTAAGAAATTCTATAATATTTAATTATTTTTATTTAAAGAACCAATTCAACCTAAAAGTTTAAGCTAATGGATGAAGTTATATTAATAATTTTATATTATCACATGAGTATTTTTAAATGTAAGGTAAAATATAAATTATATAAATTAAAAGAAAATTTTGCATAATTAATTAAAAAATCAAATGATGTGTTACTTTTAAGAAAAAAGTACACTAAAAAACTCAATGACTCTCAAGAAAATACAGTCTGTTATATGTACTAAAAAAGAGAGTCTGTTTTTATATATAAAATGAACCAGTATTGTTTACCAGATATTCAATCGTGTGTAATTGAATAATCATACTAGAATTCACCCATCACAGATGATAATGTTAAGGAAAATGTTACTCTCCTTTTACATAAGATTACTTCTCTCTTACTCTCTCACTTCGATTTTCGCACCTCACTTTTTTCTTTTTTTTCTTTTTTCTTATAATGGTGGGACCCACTCATTTTATCTCTACAACATAAGATACTTATCTTATGTTGAAGGAGAATAATAAAACCCTAATGTTAAACAGCTCAGCACTCGGCAACGAAGGAAAGGAAAGGGAAAAAATACAAGGTAACAGTTGAAATAATCAAATACAGAGAGGAAGATAAATCAGGTCCACTGGTCCATTGTTATTTCAGCTTCCCAAGTAATTCCAATGAACTGAATACTAATCTTGCCATTAATTCTTGTTCTTTGCTTATAATTAGTGCATATGCTCATGACATCAGCCCATGGGCTTTGGTTGGATGGGCCACAGCCCATTTTGCAATCTGGTGAACCTGGTTGCAGTTTCCGTCCAGGTGAGTCCGGGGAAGGAACATTTAACATTTCAAACATTTTGGGAGAGAGAGAGAGAGAGAGAGAGAGAGAGAGAGGATGGCAGTGGCATTTGTGGAAATCCAAGTTGGTGAGCAGAAGCTATTCAATGGAGTTCGATTCCCTATTGTGGTGTCTCCTTCTCCTCCTCCTGCAACTGCAACTGCTGCTATCCCTCTTACGCAATCCATCAAAGCCCATAAACCATTCCTCGAATCATTGCTTCTCAAATCCGGTGCTGTCCTTTTCAGGGGTTTCCCTCTCAACACCCCATCCCATTTCAACGACTTCGTCGAAGCATTCGGCTACGAGGAGCTTCCCTACGTGGGTGGCGCCGCACCCCGCACCAACGTTGTTGGTCGTGTCTTCACAGCCAATGAGTCCCCACCTGACCAGAAGATCCCCTTCCACCATGAGATGGCCCAGGTCTCACTCCCATCATTCGCCCCCTATTCTCAATCATTTCCTGTAACTAAGGTTGTCTGAACTGAACATCTTAATTGAATTGGGGTTTATGAACAGGTTCCTGAATTTCCTTCCAAATTGTTTTTCTTCTGTGAAGTGGAACCTGGGAGTGGGGGTGAAACCCCAATTGTTCTTAGCCATGTTGTGTATAACAGGATGAAGGACAAGTACCCTGATTTTGTGGACAGATTAGAGGAACATGGTTTGTTGTACATTAGGGTTTTAGGGGAAGACGACAACCCTTCATCTCCAATTGGCCGTGGCTGGAAATCAACCTTCTTGACCAGCGATAAGGCCATCGCTGAGCAAAGGTTTCTGCTTTTTTAAAAGGATTCTCTTTATTTTTATGTGAAGAAAAAATGTTGCATATTTGATCAGTGAGTTTATGTGTAGCTCTTATTCTTCATGCTTTGGTAATGGTCTCACTTTGAATAATTTGCAGGGCTGCTAAACTGGGTATGAAGCTGGAATGGTTGGAAGATGGAGGAGTGAAAACAATTATGGGTCCAATCCCGGGTGTAAAGTATGATGAGAAAAGACAACGCAAGATATGGTTTAATAGCATGGTGGCTGCTTACATTGGGTGGGAAGATGAACGAAATGATCCTGTTAAGGCTGTCACCTTTGGGGATGGCCAGCCATTACATGCTGATGTAGTCTATGATTGTCTCAAGATTTTGGAGGAGGAATCTGTTGCCATTCCTTGGCAAAAAGGGGACGTTCTCTTGCTTGATAATTTTGCCGTCCTTCATTCCCGAAGATCATTCAATCCACCTCGCAGGGTGTTGGCTTCACTTGTCAAGTAGATTCCTAGCTTAGCACTACCGATTGTACTATATACTTCAGCTATATCAGAAGCTTGCACTACCTAAAATTCAAGCTGTATTCTATGTACCAAAAATAAATGAATAAAATTCTAGCTGTATTTGTGATATCTTAGCAATATGTATATATATATGCCGAGGTACTGGAAACAATAACTGTTTCAGCCGTAATTGCTGAACCATGAAATAATAAGCAATTAGAAAGAAGAAAAGCATTAAAAAAAATTTGCTAAAATTGTCAACACAAATTGGTAGCAGCAGTGTGCAATGTTAAAAGTGATAGTTTATTTAATAGTAAGAGAGCTGAGTAGGTGGGAAAGAAAGAGTTTCGGTTCGATTTTCATATGTCATTTTTAGAAGGGTTTAAATATTTTCATCCTTAATCCGTCTCTTACTTCGGATTACTCTCCTAGTTGGTTCAAATAGTTGAAATTTGTAGGGAGACCGAGAAAAACTAACTCGACTCAAAGAAATAATTAAGATTGGATTAACTAGTGTCTAGTTTGTGCATTTGTGGTGCACTAGGCTTGAGATTTTTCCCACTGCCCAGCTTCTTTGGTTTTAAATCTTGAGATTTTTAAAGAGTTTTCTGCAATTGTTGAGTCCTCTTCAACAGATTTTAAAACCCCCCAATACACACACCCAACTGCTATAACCCCTAATTTCAATGGAGAAGAATATTTTCGATTGGAGTGACACAAATCCAATGTCCCTGAAAATTGTTTACTTATTTCACAATTGCTTAAATGTGTAATAGTTTATTTATTCATAGATCATGGCACAGATACCGGGGGATAAGTCAAGTTTGTGACAACTTTGTTCTTCTCCCACCTGCTATACTGGTCCCTGCACCCAACAAAGCATCGTTTCCTCCTTTGCTACGTTTTCAAACAGGAGACAGGATTGAAATGCGGCCCTTAATAGTACTATGTACAATGGACAACCTGCCACAACTAGCCTCTGAATATTTAAATTATTAAAATTGGTCATAAGACCCAAAAAGAAGGGCTTACAAAAACTTCTATGGCCTTCGGGTTAGACCCAATTAAATGGTTGGTGAACTAGAACAACACAGACCTGGTGACTAAGCTAATAGAGAAACCTGGTCTTAGAGATATCACATTCCATGGTATTAATAACAGTATGAGTAAAGACCAATGGGCCAATGACCGATAACTGCTTCGAATAAACCTTAATTTGAAGTCAGGTCCCAAAAAAATTTACATTATTTCAATGTAATCATTCGGTGCAGTGCATTATCAAAAGCAATTATGCATGCAGGATATACTAATTCTTTGTACGTTCTTACTTTCTTTCTTTTTGTTTAGTAATAATTGATAATTAACATCAGCACATTGTTCTCTGTGGGATCGTTTTTCTTTAATCTTCTGATAATTCTAAATAAGACAATTTCTTAAAAGTTCTAGAAATATAGTAAACAATTTCTCTAATACGAAAATAAGAGAGCTTATGATTACATAAGAATCCTGATCATTTTCACCATGCAAGTGTTATGAAAGGGGAAAAAAAGGAGAATCGGTCCAAAAATCATTTCATTCTGAAAAAGGAGAATCAATTCAGTCTTGAAAATACAGAATCATTTCATTCTGAAAAATAAAATAAAAAATCGTAACAATCAATGATATTTCTGCATCGAATAGTGGCTAGGTAGCATCTTTTCCCAAAGTAGCTCTAATACGCATTGCAGAGGCAAACATATATATTTTTTATTTTTTTGGGTAAAAAAACATATAAAATTTTAAATGTTCTCCTAGATAAATATTTATTTACACTACGAGGAATGAATTTTTATCAAATGCAAGTTAAAACTATTTATAAATTATTGATTAGTTTTTTGTTGATAATTATGTCATTAAATTTACAGTTAGATTGAGAGATTTTATTATACAAGTTGCATTTATAAAATTTTACAGTTTCATAACTGTTTATTATTTCATCTATTTATATTAAGATTAACATAATATATACTTCTAAAAATTTAAAAAAAAAACTTACTTGATTATATCTTTATTATTATTAAATTCTATACAAAAATATCATATAGTTATAATTTAATTATTTGATTAATAAAAATCATATTCTATATAAAATTATTAGGGGCATAAGATTGTTTCTTATAGGAGCATAAATTGAACTCTCCCTCCTTTACATATATACAATCTAAAATTTCGAGAGACGAAGTGAATTTCATTTATTTGATATGAAGAAGAAAAACTTAGATGTGGTAATTAGAGATGGAAATTTGGTTTGGGGTGTGATTGCCCCTTCCCAAGTACCCATGTGAGTAGTTCGGCCCCTGGATTAGACAATCTCGTTCAAGAATCAAACAGCAAAACGAACTAATAAGGATTAATAAGGATAATCACTTTTTATTTTGTGTTTTTTATTTTTTTTATTTCTCAAGAATAATTTAAAAAAGGCACACGAGTGCAAGTTGAATAGAAACAGATAAACTTGAAGAGCAATTCTGAAACAATTTTCAACCCCTCTTCTACCTTGTTGACCATCTACGATTTTCAACATTTATCTCTAGCATGATTCTTCTGCTTCTTCGTCCTTTTTTAACTTTGCTCACTTATCCGATTTGCCCTCAAATAAGAATAACTTTAGCCTTTTATGCTCCATATTATAGTGGTGCATTATGCCTCCAAGCAATCATTCCGGGCATAAGTACCCCTCCTAAAGACGTAAAAGGATTGATGCTTTTATATTACAAAACACTAAATAAAAAAACCCTTCATTCGCTTCAGAATAATTTTTTTTTTTTTGTTAAATTATAGATACATATGGTCCCGTTTGGATAGCCTCATTTTTATAAACTCGAAGTTATAACTAACGAAAATAGATTGAAGATAACTTATACGATACATCTGTATAATAAAATATCGTTGAGTCGTACAGCGTTTGCTCAAGTGCTAACTTCGAGAGTATTTTCATAAAATTTTGTTTTACTAAACTTCCAGAAGGGCATCATAGTTTTAAGGAAAAGCATACTATTTATTAATGATTTGTATCCCAAGAAAGTGATCTTATTCTCACTCAGTTTTGATTCATAATTTCATATATGGCCGAAAGCACCACGAAGATCGGCAATCATATCTAATACCCAATAAAATATTTCAAAGAGCCAAAGATTATAAGAAAATGGAAGAAATATAGAAAAAAATTTACCTTTTCGATAAAAATAATTTGTTCTAGGATGTGGTAATGTTCAAGTATGCAACCAGTAGTAAAGTTGGTTGTTACTTTATATATTTATCCAAGGATACTGATATAGAGAAATTAGTGTTGTAAATTTTAGCGTGAGCGATAAAAAATCCAACATCGATAAGAAATGAGCTAAGAATGATATATATAATTGAAAAGATGTATAAAATTAATGTCTTAAGGTTTTGGATTAAGATGTGATATTAGATAATGATATTTTGATGTTATGTGTTCTCTTATCACAATTATAAAATAAATCCAAATATAACAAGTTATTAATTTTGAATTTTAATAGGTCTTGCAACACATGCTCACAAACTATACATCTTGCATTCCATCATATTTTATTATTTTTATCTCTCTCCAAACATGACCTCAAATAATGTTTGAAACCAATTTTGAATTTATACCACTAGCTTAAATATCTACTGATATCAGTGGTTCTTCTTCGGCCTCGCAACCCAACTTCCAACTTTTCATATGGTACAGTCGGTGCCTTTTTAGGTTATTACCATTCAAGCATGAGTGCACTCGTTTATTGTACCTGAACAGCCTCTTAGGGTAGAGTCCAAGGACGAACCCTCTTTTTCTTCTAAGGAACAAAGACACTATTGTATAAAAGTGGATCCCATTACTTATCATACACACACATACATTCTAGGTACTATAGCGGCGCATGAGCCAATTATTCACACAAAAGCAAACAAAAAAGGTCACTACAGAAAGAACTATCAAAAAGACAAGGTGATGGGGGCAATCAATGAAACGAAGAATAAAACCAAGAAAGAGAAAATAAAAAAATATAAAAAATATAAAAAAAAGCCCAAGAAAAAGGGGGAAATGGGAATGAATCGAAGTAGGAAAAAAATAGGAATAGTGGGGAAGATATCTTATCAATGATGGTAATATAATAATAGATAAAAGGAATAGAGTGGGGTGGGGTCTGCCACAAACAAAGTTGAGGATATGCATCAAAGTTAAATGGTTTGGAGTTGTTGGGGTCATCTTTTGGTATTAGAAAACGTGGGAGAAAATTAGACATGGTCTCACACACAGTCCATATACACGGAATTATCAACCAGCAGCCTCTTTGTTGCATAATGCATACACACGCCAAGACCCAAGTCCCTCATATCTATGCTCTTGCTCGTGCTCATGCTAAGCCATATCCAACCACCCATAAGCCAGCCACCTAGCAAATTAAAAGTATCAAAGGCAAAGCAATGAAAGCGAGATTGAAAGCCGTGTTGTGTGGACAACTACAAGACATGAGAGGTCCAAAAGATGGTTTTGATATATGAGCTAGGTCACTCATTGCTTTTGCCACACTTTTTCATCAATCAAACACTTCTTGTCAGAATTTTTTTTTTCCCCTTTTTCTTAATAAAGAAGAGGATATTTTTCCAAATATAACTTGAATTTTTCCGAAGATATTGTAGACGCAATAGGTGAGTAATATAGCAACAACATGCTTTACACGATAAATAAATAATTGAGATACAACTCACGATCCACTTATTCATAAGTTTTATTGGTCCGAATCGTGGTTCATGTTGGGGGTTTTAACTTTTAAGATGAGCTAATCCGATTTTCTCTTTTATCTTTTGCGGTACACCTAGAACTAGAATAGATACCTTATCTAATGGACACAAATGGTTGTCACTGAATTTATCTGACTCGATAACACGGTTTAGGAGGAATTTATAACATGTACCATGTGTTACAAATGAAGCACTCCCGTCTTAACACTTATTTTTTTTCTTTTGTATTTTGCCTTAAAAGGTTAAGTTGTTGATGTCCAATGACCACACTTGAGTGGGCCACGGTCATCAATTTATTCTTAATCAATTCGGGAATGCATTCTTAAAACTTATGTTTGCAT